ATGGTATGATTTCATTTACTTAAAAACACTGGCAAAGCTGGGTGTGGTGAATTTGCCCATAATCCTAGCTACTTGGGAGGCTGAGGAAGGAGGATCCCTTGACCTTAGGAGTCCAAGACCAGACTATGTTTAGGCAACATAGTAAGACCCTGTCTCTGCAAAAAAAAAAATTAAAAATTAGCCAAATGTGTGTTATGCGCCTGTAGTCCCAGCTACTCAGGAGGTTAAAGCAGGAGGACTGCTTGAGCCCAGAAGCTGTAGTAAGCTAGTAGGATGATGCCACTGCAGCAACAAAGCAAGACCATGTCTCAAAATAATTAATTAACTAAAAAATACAGTAAAATAAAATGTACGTAAATAAACATGCATAAAACAAGAAATGCATAATCATAGAGAAGTACACCTAAATAATATCCTCCAAATCCAACAGTTTTATTGCCTCTGGGTTGAATGAGAAGTAGACAAGGAATAGTAAGGAAACTTTTTTGAATTTCTATTTGTTGTGTTTGAATTATTTACAATAAGAAATGATTTTTGGAAAAAAAATTTTTAAAAATTAAAAAAGAAATGATTTTTGGAATGTTAGAAAATCCTATTTGAAAGAATAATAAGAATACATCAATGTAATCCACCTTATAAACACCTTTTCTTGGAAATCTACTGGATAACATACTTCACCAAAATAATGGAAGCAATATTATGAAGACGAAGACAGGAAACAGAACCAAGCATAACACAGGGGCAGAATGAATCACCAAGATGATATCAAAGAGAGCTCAAAGCAACAGCTGCGGATTCAACATCAAGGGCAACCAGTCTGGATTGGCAAAGCAGGTTAGAAAGCTGTATTAGAAATAAAATTGATAAAAATAACTGTAAATTGGCCAGATGCAGGCACGCATCCCTGTAATCCTAACACACCTAGCCAAAGCAGGTGTATCGCTTGAGCTCAGGAGTTGAAGACTAGGCTGAGCAAAAGCCAGACCCTGGCACTACTAAAGATAGAAAAAACTAGCCCAATATAGTGGCCTGTGCCTTAATCTCAGTTACTTAATACTTGGGAGGCTGAGACAAAAGGATCTCTTTTTTTTTTTTTTTTTTTGAGACAGAGCCTCAAGCTGTCACCCTGGGAAGAGTGCTGTGGCATCACAGCTCACAGCAACCTCCAACTCCTGGGCTCAAGCGAGTCTCCTGCCTCAGCCTCCCAAGTAGTTGGGACCACAGGTGCCCTCCACAACGCACGGCTATTTTTTGGTTGCAGCCGTCATTGTTGTTTGGTGGGCCTGGGCTAGATTCGAACCCACCACCTTAGGTGTATATGGCTGGTGCCTTAGCCACTTGAGCCACAGGCGCCAAGCCTTTGTTTTTTTGTTTTTTTGAGACAGAGTCTCACTTTGTCACCCTCAGTAGAGTGCTGTGGAGTCACAACTCACAGCAACCTCAAACCTCTGGGCTCAAGCAACTCTCCTGCCTCAGCCTCCCCAGTAGCTGGCACCACAACACCGGCTATTTTTAGAGACAGGGTCTCACTCTGGCTCAGGCTGGTGGCTAACCCATGAGCTGAGGCAATCTACATGTTGGCATCCGCAGTGGCTCATGCCTATAATCCTAGCACTCTAGGAGACTGAGGTGGGTGGAAGGCCTGAGCTCAGGAGTTCAAGACCAGCCTGAGTAAGAGGAAGATCCCATCTCAGAAAACAAAAAAGAATTTCTTGAGGCCAAGAGTCTGAGGTTGTTTTGAGCTATGATGCCACCGCCCTCTACCCAGGGCAACAGAGTGAGACTGTGTCTCAAAAAAAAAAAAAAAAAAAGTGTAAATTGGATGTCTTGAGAAAAAATTTAGACAACTAGCAAAAAATTTATAGCAAAAACTCTGCAAGTTTTTGCACACAGAAAGACAACTCTGTTGAAAAACAGAAGAGAATGTGATCATAGTTTACCATTATGTATACCACATAGTAACTCAGCTCCTGATGGTGTGTAGGGATGTTTACCTAACTAAATATTGACCTAACCAAAAATTACAAGATAAATACATTCAGAGGATGAATGGAAGGAACAAGTAGAATGTGTGAGTCGCAGGGGCAGGAAAGCAGAGGAAAGTTAAATCCACATACTCCACAATGGAAAGTCCACGCGTGATGGAAAGTATTATTTACAGACATGAATAACTATCAACTACTTAAAAGATATGAGTATGATTCCTTCTGAAAAGCCGTAGGAAATTATGTTCTGCTATCTTTATTAATGAACCTTATTAAATTATTCAATTCTGAAAAAAAAATTATTCAATTCTGGATCATCTGTATGCACTTCATAAAACTTCAGCCAAACTACATAATAGTCACTACTGAGACCCACATCATAATACTTGGCCTAACAATGATGAATTTTACAGAAAATTGTTGTAATGTAGACTTCTGATGTGCCACAATGAAATAACTAGAGTTATAGAAAGAATGGCCTATTTCAATTCCAGCCCTGTCTGATTCTACCAGAATGGGACAAAAGTCACTCTGAGACTATTTAGACTATACTCAAAAGTCATGATTAAAAATACAGTGAGTAGTGGTTGGCACAGTGCTCACACCTGTAATCCTAGCACTCTTAGAGGTTGAGGTAAGTGGATTGCTTGAGGTCAGGAGTTCAAGAGCAGTCTGAGAAAAGAGCAATAACCCCCATCTCTAAAAATAGCTGGGTGTTGTGGCAGGGGCCTCTAGTCCCAGCTACTTGGGAAGCCTAGAAGATCACTTGAGCTCCAGACTTTGAGGTTATTGCAAGCTATGATGATGACAAGGCACTCTACCAGGGCAACAGAGACTCTGTCTCCAAAAAGAACACAGTTAAGTAGCCAGATATGGTGGCAGTTGCATGTAATCCCCGCTACTTAGAAGGCTGACCCTAGAATACGGGGAAAGAAGAGGGGGGGAGGGGTGGGGGAGGGTAGGAGGAGGGTGGGTGAAGAGAATGATATTGTAGGGATCATGCCTATAGTTTATTCTATTTGGGTACAGGTGAATTTGTCTAAAGGTTAAATATAAATGTCTTAGCATAACAACTATGAGAAAGACATGATGGCTATGTTGGCCACCTGGATGAGAGTTTTCCAAACTGCATATAGAAGTAACACACTGTATCCTATGAGAGAATTAATGTACACAATTATGATCTAATAAAAAAACATGAAAAAATAAATAAATAAATAAATAAATAAAGTGATGAAGAGAAAAAAAAAAAAAAAGAAGGCTGAGATGAAACAACCACTTAAGCCTAGGAGTTCAAGACTATCTGGGACACATAACAAGACTTCATCTCAAAAATACAAAACAATAAAACCCAGTAAGAAATAAAAAGAAGAAAGAAAAACTAACAACATATTTCAGGCATGATATTTACCTAAAGCTTGACAGTTTAAGAATAAATGTCCTGCCCAAAAAGTTAGCTATGACAGAGACTTAGTAATAGGCAAGAAAAGACCAAAATTTGGATCAAATTGCCAGGATATGGCATCTTGCTTAGTTTTTTCTTCTTGCCTGTGGGGCACAATCAAACGCTATTCATGCCTTTATCTACCAAGACAAACTTAATATTACCAAAGCTTACTACTTTCCAACATTGGTCCAAAAAAGAACACTCCTGCTAAGTCTCATCCCGGATGGTTACAACCCCTGACGGGAAACATAAGACAGCCACACAGATGCTTAGTCAAGTCCGGATGCCAATCTAGCCAAAATATCTAACATTTTATAGTCCCGTTAGAATCTAAAGCAGATGACAGTGTGAAACATCAATCAACATTTGTATGGGGCAGAAAATGAAGAATTCAATTCCCACTTAAGCAGGTAAGGTGATCACCTTCTCCTTAAAACAAGTGATCACCATCATGTGTGTGGCTAGAACTACCCTGTTCTCAGTATTTTAAAGCGTTGATCTGAGTTCACACTGCAGCTCCACATTTCTCCCTCAGCTTCCTTTTCCTCACCTGTAAACCCGTGTGCAGTAGTGGGGAGGGAGAAGGGGGATGTTAACAACACTTAGTTCTTCTAGGATTCCAGACAGGATGAAATAGTTCAGAATAGCAAACTCGGCCTGGGCCCACGGATCACCCCTATAATCATAGCACTCTGGGAGGCAGAGACTGGAGGATCACTTGAGCCCAGAAGTTTCAAGAAAAAGACCCATGTTTCTACTAAAAATAGAAAAATTAGCCAAGTGCTTGCCTGTCATCCCAGCTACTCAGGAGACTTGAGGTAGGAGGAAGGCTTGAACCCAGGAGTTTGAAGGTTGCTGTGAGCTAGGCTGACACCCCAGCACTCTAGCCTGGGCAACAAAGTGAGACTGTCTCCAATAAAACAAACAAACAAAAAAAAAAAAAAACAAAGACAGAAAGAAAATAAGTAAATAAAAATAGAATAGAATAATTGCAAACTCTTACAACCTGTGGAATAGTTTGGGCATTATTCTAAGTGTATATGGCAGAGAGCATTTCATTTTAAACAAAATACCGTATCATCCCATTTTCCAGATGAGAAACTGGAAGAGCTGAGGTAAAGTAACTTGCCCAAGGTCATAGGGAGTGACGGAGCTAGGATACTCACTCAGGCTACTGGGCTCCAGAGATGCTCTCAGCGACCAAACTAGGCTGAAATGGGCATTCTGTACTATACGTGAAATTCAATGTGCTCGGTACATGGTACTAATTTATACACAGGGAGTGCTGGTCCAGACAATATAGCCTGAGGTTTTGCCGCCTTAGAAAAGAACAAGGTATGACCCAATCTCCAGGCCTGTCGGGGACTCCGTAGCTTCCTCCTGTTCCGAGTGTTGCTTGCGCTCTCCCAGGGGCGGGGAGCGCCCTCCTTCCGCAAGCCCCCAGAAACTTCTGCCGCGCCCCGCGCCCACAGGGCAGAGGAGTCAGCGCGCGGGACTAGCAGCTGCGAGCCCAAGGGGACGCCCTTAGGGACGGAAGTGGACAGCGGCGGGGCAGACGCTCAACTTACCTTGACCCGCACTGGCATCGCGCCAGGATCCCGGAGCGGGACGCACGGGGACGCGCAGGGGCGCGGATGGACCGCAGCCTGGGGGCTTCTCCCGCCGCCTCCGGGAGCCCTGGCCCCGGGCTCGTCTGGGTCCCCAGCCGCGAGCCGTGCCCCTGGCAGCTCAGAAGCATGCATTGTCTCCTCCCGGCTCCCGGCTCAAGCCAGCTCTGAACTCTTCTTCGGCAGGTCAGGAGCGAAGCCACAGAGCTGCCTCCGCTCCCGGGGTGTTGCCCCACCGCCCCAAGCGGAATCTCCGACCCGCGGGTTAGGCTCCCGCTTAGACACCACCTCCGGTCCGGCCCCTTTCCAGCTCCGGGAGCAGGAGCTGCGGGACCAGCTCTTAGTGGGGTACCCTGCCTTAGCTGAAATCTCAGATATGTTAATCATTTTCGGGTGGAGACCAGAGCGCTTGAAAGCCGGTTATTTCGTAAATCCTATCTATTCTAGATCCTACTTAGACCTTGTGTGCTTGGCCCCACCCACAGCCACCTAAGGCCGCGAGCTCAGAGCCAGTGAACCGCCTAAAGCCCTGGTGCCCTACCGCGGGAGCAGCCTGGAGGCGCCTGTACGGGACGCTTGGCAGGTTGGTGCTTTCGTCTTTGATTTGCAGGCCCCGCTACCAAAGCCCTGTCTGAGTTTTTGACTCTGGAGGCAAGAACTCTGGGTTCCATCTCCACAGGCTGCCATTTACAGCTGTGTGAATTTGTAACAATGCCTTTCAGCCTCAGTTACCTAGTGTATGGAAAAGAAGGTGATTCCTACCTTACATCGAAGAAGTATAGTGAGGGTCAAATGGGATGGGCATTGTCATCATAGTCATGCCGGTCATGCCGGGTGTCCATCAAAGTAGGCTGCTTTTTTTTTTTTTTTTTTTTTGAGACAGAGTCTCACTTTGTTGCCCTCGGTAGAGTTCTCTGGCTTCACAGCAACCTCCAACTCCTGGGCTTCAGCAATTCTCTTGCCTCAGCCTCCCAAGTAGCTGGAACAACAGGTGCCTGCCACAATGCCTTAGAGACAGAGGGGTCGCTCTAGCCCCTCGGGCTGCTCTCGAACCTGTGAGCTCAGGCAATCCACCCGTCCGGGCCTCCCAGAGTGCCAGGATTACAGGCATGAGCCACCGCGCCCCACCTTGTTCCTGTACAATTTAAAATAGCAAACTATTAGGCCTGAGCTAGAGGGAGACCCCATCTCTAAAAATAGCCATACTCTAAAAATAGCTGGGCGTTGTAGCAGGCACCTGTAGTCCCAGCTACTTGGGAGGCTGAGGCAAGAGGATCTCTTGAGCCCTGAGTTTGAGGTTGGTGTGAGCTATGACGTATGGCACTCTACTGGTACTCTACCAAAAGCAATAAAGTGACACTCTATCTCAAAAAAAAAAAAAAGAGTGAACTATTTTGATGGATACCCTGTATTTTATGGTATAGTATTGTTGTTGCAGAGTCTTGTGTGGTATGAAGCACACCAGAGATTAAGTTAACAGCACTTCTTTTACAATTTCCAGGCAACACAAGGGACCCCTCTGGGACTCAGTTTATCTTATGCAATGTTAATAATAGTGAAAAAATCCACTTCATTCACAAGGTTATATGAACAAAGGAAATCACTGAATGTGCTTTATGTGTAAAGTATCCTGCAAATGTTTTGGTTATTTCTGTTATTTTGGGCAGGTTCCTCTCACTAGGTGGTCTTTATTAAAGCTGTAGTCAGTGATCTATGTGTTTATGATTTAATTAAAAAAATGAATAAAAAGCTGTAGTCGGGAATCTGGGGTGGATCTCAGAGATGACACAAAGCTCACAGGCAAGGTGATACTCACTTTATTACAAGTAAGGTAATTAGGCTGGATGAGGTGGCTCATGCCTGTAATCCTAGCACTCTGAGAGGCCCAGGAGAGTGGATTGCTTGAGCTCAGGAGTTCAAGACCAGCCTGAGCAAGAGTGAGACCTCATCTCTAAACACAGCTGAACATCTGCCTTAGCTTGTGGCAGATGCCTGTATTCCCAGCTACTGGGGAGGCTGAGGCAAGAGGATTACTTGAGCCCAAGAGTTTGAAGTTGCTGTGAGCTTTGACCATGGCACCCTACTCCTGGCAACAGAGTAAGACTCTGTGTCAAAAAAAAGAAAAAAAAAAAAAGTATGGTAGTCATTCATCCATGGAAACTAACTTATTGTTAGGGACACCTACTAATTTAGTCCATTCTGAACTTTTGCACAGCAAACTCAGCATTTACAGACATAGTTAACAGGATTTTTTCCCCCACTTCTCAATCTGATTTAAGTGAATATTTCTTTGCTTATTAGCAAACTGGAGCATATCATCTGTGTGTTGACATTTTTCTATTAGCACAGTTAACCACCTTTTGTATCTTTGACTCCTCTTTTCAAAGAGTTAATCTGTAAACAGTTAACAGATTCAGAAGCTCTTCAAAGGCAAACCAGTGCCTCTTCTTCTGTGTCCTTTATACAACTTTTTTGCTAGGTCTCTCCCAGCTCCAGGGACGAAGAGTTCTCAGAAATCTTCAAACCCACCAAGAAGACTGGCCATTTGGAACCCAAGATTCCCAGAATCTTAGTGTCCTGTCACTACCATCTTCTAATTTAATCTCTTTACTGAATGTACCTGTTGGGATGATCATATATTCTTTTCAGATTAAGCTTCAGGGCATTTAAAGCCTGAAGTAGGAGGGCAATTCCAAATGGGGAAGGCATCTAATACACTAGTTTACAAGCTGCCTTTGATTCCCAAGCTGCATCAGAAACAGCTGAGGCATTTATTGAACGTGCCGACTCCCAGACCCCACCCACCCCACCCAGATCTCTGTTGTTGGGATTTCTGGGGTGGAGCCCAGGAATCTGTAATTTTCATAAGCACTTCAATCAACTGAAAAGCTTGTCTGTAAAAAGTCTTCTGGCTACAAGTTAAGTCCAGGGCTAGCTATGAAATTTAAATTTTAGATTGTTCATTAATAGTCTACTGTGACCTGATATAGGCCCACAAATATTTCCTGAACACAGACTGTTTGTCAGGCATCATGCTGGGTGTCAGGAAAACAAAGATGAATAAGACATTGTCTAGTCACCAAGGAGCTGAAGTTTATAGGAGGAGTATGAACAATCAAAAACGAAACTGCACCTCAGGTAACCACTGGCAACTGTCGTCAACATTAACAGCACTTCACTTTCTCATTTGATCTCCCGCATCCCCTTCTTCCTCTTCCCATTCTTTTCTCCCTGTACTTCCTTCTCTCTACTTGTCTCACCTCCCTTTTTACCCTGGTTTTCTAGACTTTCAATCCTTCTGGTAAACCACACAGACATTGTCAATTTTGACTCCTGACCTAACATGGTCTTTTTTTTATTGTTGAGACAGAGTCTCACTGTGTCACCCAGGCCATAGTGCCATGGTCTCAGCCTAGCTCTCAGTAACCTCAAACTCTCGGGCTCAAGGGACCCTCCTGCCTCAGCCTTCTGAGTAGTTACAACTGCAGGCACCTGCCAGAACAACAGCTAATTTTTCTATTTTTAGTAGAAACGGGGTCTCACTTTGCTCAGGCTGGTCTTAAACTCCTGACATGAACTGAGCCTCCCATCTCAGCCTCCCAGAATGCTAGGATTATAGGCATGAGCCACCATGCCCAGCCAACCTAACATGGTCTGAGGATACTGCTCCGACTTTTGAGATCAATCTTATGATTTCAAAGTGGAGGTGAACAGCTGAGAAGAATGAGTGTGAGGGTGTATTTTTCTTTTTTAGTGTGAGAAGATCTTTATAAGTCTCAATATTCAAGCCATTAAGGGGTGGTTTCTAATATAATAGAACCTCCAGAGTTGACCACCTCCCTACATTGACAGCCTCTTTAATTTGACCTAATTTTCATAAACCAGACATGTACTCCGTGTACGAATCAGAGCTGTAGGCCTCGTTTCTTATGTTGACCACCTCCATATGTTGATCAGCTTGTTACAGTCCCTTGGGTGGTCAATACAGAGATTCTAGTGTATATGCATTCTTTTTCTTTATTTGAAGAGGGGTAAGGTTTGTTGAAGGCTTTGCAAAGTAATACTTCCCAGACTTTCTAGACAGCCCAGGAAAAAAATAAGAAATAAATTGTTCTATTTCTTTGCATCAAAAATCAGAAAGGCCAGGTGCAATAACTCACATTTCTAACCCTAGTGCTTTGGGAGGCCAAGGTAGGAGGATCAGAGGAGCCTAAGAGTTTGATACCAGCCATGGCAACAGACCTTGTCTCTACAAAAAAAATTTTTTTGAGACAGTCTCACTATGCTGCCCTGGGTAGAGTGCCGTAGCATCACAGCTCACAGCAACCTCCAACTCTTGGGCTTCAGTGATTCTCTTGCCTCAGCCTCCCAAGTAGCTGAGCCTACAAGCAACTGCCACAATACCTGCCTATTTTTTGTTGGAATTGTCATTGTTTAGCTGGCCGAGGCTGGGTTCAAACCCACCAGCCTCAGTGGCTGACACCATAACCAATGTGTTACGGGTGCAGAGCCTCTGCAAAAATTAAAAAAAAAAAATATATAGGCCAGGTGTGGAGGCTCACACCTATGATCCCAACACTCTGGGAGGCAGAGGCAGGTGGATTGCCTGACTTCACAGGTTCAAGACCAGCCTGAGCCAGACTGAGGCCTCATTTCTAAAAATAGCCAGGCATTGTGGCTCATGTCCTAGCTACGTGGGAAGCTGAGGCCAGAGAATCACTTGAGTCCAAGAGTTTGAGGTTGCTGTGAGCTATGACTCAACCCCAGGGTGACTAAGTGTGACTCTGTCTCAAAAAAAAGAATAGCCAGGTATGGTGGAATATACCTGTATTCCCATCTACTTAGGAGTCTGAGGCAGAAGGATTGCTTGAGGCCAGGAATTCAAGGCTGCAGTCAGTTATGATTGTGTCACTGCACTCCAGCCTGGGCAACAAGAAAATCATGAGAAACCTCTTGCCCCACTCCTCATAATACAGCGT